CTGAACTACCTGCCCATGGCTGAGGATTCCTCAGATGCTGCTTTCTTTGCATGTAGACATTTTTTAGATTTTCACTGCTTCAGTGTCAGAAGCTGTAGAAAAGGTCTTGTCTAATGATCCAGGCGTGTGTCTGCTGTGCTGAATTGGTATTTTTAGATCTTGGAAGCTCTCCTTGAGAGAGTAACAGGTCCCAGTTGCTGGGTGGATCTGGTTTCAAATGGCATGGGATCAGTGCAGCGATGCAAAAGGCTGCCCACTGAGAACAAACTGCCAGACTGCCAGCCATGGAACAAAGAGGAGGCAAGGGAGCTCGTGCTCTGGCTGCCAGTAGGCCTGGCCATGGCAGGTTTCAAGAAGTTATATGCCCCAAGAGAGTGAGCTAGCAAAGCCTGACTCCAAAGGAGCTACTCGGTCCAGTGTATTCTGAATGATCAGCAGCTGCCTTTTGTAGCCTTTAAAAATAAGCCATGAACCTCAGGAGCACAGCTGGAAAGCAGACAATCTAGCATGCTCTGATGGTGGATGCTGTGATAGGAAGTCCTACTCTCTGCTTCTCCACTGGGATCTTCCCTTTCAAGGTGCTGACCATGCTGCAGGCTCACAGCTATGTACTGGGAATAGAAGATGTGTATATGCTTGAGCTCTGGAGCTGGGCTTATCCAGCCTCCTGGTGGGACAGGCTGGAAGAGCATCCCTTTCTACCACCTCCCAATGAGAACCAGTTAGATCTGCTTGGGATGGGTTGGTTTTCACATAAATACATAAAACCATATATAAATACGTGGATATGAGAGAAGAGAATGGTTAAACAGGAAGCATTTTCTGCAAGAACTGAGAGAACCTAGAATCACGAGCAGTCCAGACACTTCCTTTCCAACTCTGTCTGTTCTATTTACCAGCCACTTTGTGTTTCTGTGAGGCTCTGCTTTGCCCATGGGGACAACATACTGCAAGTAAACAATGTTGTGCCCTCTGCTTCCTTTTCTTTCCTGTCTACATTGTACCCATGACAGAAGAGGAAAGAGTCAGCTCCAAATGACACAGCCAAAAAACAAATCTTCTCCAAAGTAAAGTTGTGCTGACAAGGATTGGCCTCTCCCTACGTGCCTTGAAAGCTGGCATCGTGTTCTTGCTAGGAAGACACTGAAGTACAAAGGTTTCCGTCCCTTGCAGTAACTATCCCCTTATGCACAGTGTTACAGCTTTTGGACTAAAGCCATGCATATGAAAGCCTATGAACTGATGTGCCTTTCTCCTCTGGATGGGACCTCACTGCTGGCCAGCAATCCAGCACAATGCTTTGTAGCTGGGGAGCTCATTAAATCTAGCCCCATTAAATCTGTGGCGACAGCGGACATATGATAGGTAGCACGTTGCTCTGGTCTGTCTTGTGCTATTATCAGGCATAGCTATAGGGAACTGAGATGTACATCTAATGTGGATTTTGAGCTCCACCTAGCCCTAGTATCTGGTTTTCAGATCTCATCCCTTTGACTCAAGGAGGTCCCAGCAGGCGTTGAGTCACATTTCCAGACCGGCAGCCAATTAATTCAAGGGGATGTTCCTTGGCCTCACATCTATCTTGTCTAATGGCATAAGGACTGCAGCAGGGGAAGGTGGCAGTGCTGGCCGGCATCACTGGCTTCTGAAAATCCCATCCATTCCTTTTCCCTTTGGATCTTTTACTAGGCAAGGCAAACTGGTTTGATTTGCAGATTGCAAATCTCTCCCCTGGACTGCTCCAGCCCAAACAGTAACAGTTACAGGAAACCTTATTTGCAGCCATTCTGGCATTTGTGGACTGATACCCTGTCATGGAGAAGTGGAGTGGAACTCCAGGAAAGCCAGATGGATTACCACCATTCTCTCTGGCACTGGGAATTCAGATGTGCAGGCAGAAGCAAGGATGTGTTTCAAGCACTCAGAGAGTGGCTGTGGTCCACAAGGAGTTGCTCCAACTGCCTTCGGAGGAAGCTGGAACTTGATGAGAACCACAAACCTTTTGCACCCCTGCTGTATCAACTGCACTTCCAAAGTGTTGTGCCTGTATGGGCACCTTACAAGCTCTCTGCTTCCTTTTAAGAGTGCACCTTTGAGCTCTGTACTTGAAAATACCTGGGGGGGAGGGGGGAGTTATACACAGTAGCAGATCTTTGGTCAGAGCCTGTTCCTGCAGGTTTCTTGGTCGCGTCTTCAGGGCTTGCCTTTTTGCTGACAGCCAGCTCCATCTATTCTCAGCACAGCTCCTCTCTCCCCAAAGCAAGAGACTATGCTGCAGGGAAAAATGGGAAAATATGATTGCACAGAACTTCCTCTACAATTTGAGTGATGGGTAGACCTTGTTTAACCTAAGAAAGGTCCTGCAGGCCACCAGAGCAGCTTCTATCCACTAAGCTGCGGGTGGTGGCTAAGGGCTGAACAGTGATGGCACTGCCCGTTTCCAGCACATCTCTTCTGGAAGTAGGAGTGCCCAGATCCGTGCACCAACAAATGAGCTCTGTGCTTTTGGAAAGAAACTTGAGAAGCCACCAGGGCTTGGATCCATGGTGCTGTGGGGAATGGACCAAAGGACATTTTGGCTGAGGGTTTCTTTTCTGATGAGCTGGCAGAGGACAAACCTCACAGACTCCCTCAGCCCAGAGCTTTGTCCTGCTGAGCTCCACACAGCCAATGGTAGAATTGTTTGAGTTGGAAGGTACCTTTAAATATCATCTGGCTCAAATCCTCTGCGATGAACAGGGACAGCTACAGCACAATCAGGTGCTCAGAGCCCTTCCAGCCTGATCTTGGGTGTCTCCATGGACAGGGCATCCATCACCTCTCTGGGCAAGCTGTGCCAGTGCTTTACTACCCTTATTGTGAAAAATTCTTCCTTATATCCAGTTTAAATCTCTCCTCTTTTAGTTTGAAGCCATTTTCCCTTTTCCGGTCACAACAGACCCAGCTAAAGAGTCTGTCTCCTTCCTGTAGCTCCCCTCCAGATACTCAAAGGCTGCTCTCAGGTCTCCTTGCAGCTTCTCTTCTCCATGCTGAACAGCCCAGCTCTCTCAGCTCCGCTCTTAGGGAAAGTGTTCCATCCCTTGGAGCATTTCTGTGGCCCTTCCCTGGACACGTTCTAACAGATCCCCATCTCTCCTGCCCTGAGCACTCCCCATCTGGATGCAGTGCGGGTCTCACAGCACGGGTCTCACAGCACAGAGGGGCAGATCCCCTCCCTCCACACAGCTTTTGATGCAGTTGATACGGTTGGGTTTGGGCTGTGAGGGCTCAGTGCTGTCTCACGTCCAGCTGCCACCCACCAGCACCCCCAGGTCCTTTTCAGCGGGGCTGCGCTCCATCCTTACACCCCCCCCAACTGATGCCATAACCCAGGTGCAATAGGCGATGCAGCTCCGTGAGCCGAGCAGTTCTGAAGGAGGAATCGTTAGCTGAGAGCCGCCTCCTCCGGCCGGGGAAAACCACCTTAACGCGGAGGCAGGAAGCGGCGGCGGGCACCAATCAGGCCGGGCTGGGGAAGGGAGGGCCGTGGCGGCGGCGGAGAGAAGGCCGCGATGTGAGCCGGCTGCCTGCGGGCGGATGGCCGAGGGCAGTCCTGCCGGCGGCGGGGCCGCCCCGAGCGGCGGTGGCGAAGCGGCGGGCGCCCTCAGCGCCCCGGGCGGGCCCGCAGGTAACGTGAGGGCGGGGAGAGCCGCGGGGAGGCCGCGCGGGGAAGCTCGGAAGCTGCGAGGGTCGGGGTTCCGAGCCGCCGCCTGCCGATGCGCTCAGCCCAACGCCGCTCTCTCCAGCGCAGGTCGGGATCTGAAGGAGTGGCTGAGGGAGCAGTTCTGCGACCACCCTCTGGAGCGCTGCGAGGACACCCGGCTACACGATGCAGCCTACGTGGGGGATCTGCCCACGTTGAAGAGCTTGCTGGAGGAGGAGAGCTTCCAGAGGTGAGGAGGCTGCTGAGTGAAAGACGCTGAGAGCTGGAGCGTGCACACAGAAGGGCAGCAGAGCTGCGATGGGCAGCAGCGCGAGTCTGATGGGGGAATGGGGTTGTTAGGTGTGGAGGAGAGGAGGCTCGGGAGACACCTCACTGCTCTCTAGAGCTTCGTGGAAAGAGGTTGTGGTGAGGCGGAGTCGGCCTCTTCTGCCAGGTAACAGTGGTAGGAGGGGAGCTGATGGCCTCAAGTTGCTCCAGAGGAGGTTCAGTGTGGATATTAGGAGCAATTTCTTCTCAGAAAGAGCAATGAGGCAGTGGCACAGCTGCTCACGAAGGTGTTCCTGGCCTGTGGTGGAGGTGTTCCAGAGCTGTGGAGGTGTGGCACTGAGACACGTAGTTAGTGGGCACGGTGGGTTGGACTTAGTGATCTTAGAGGTCTTTTACAACATGAATGATTCTACGATTCTCTGATCCTCCGGGTCCTGCACTTTGGCCACAACAACCCCAGGTTTGGGGCTGAGCGGCTGGAAGACTGTGTAGAGGAAATGGACCTGGGGGTATTGATTGATGCTGGGCTGAACATGAGCCAGCAGTGTGCCCGGATGGCCAAGAAGGCCAATGGCATCCTAGCTTGCATCAGGAACAGTTCCTCCTTGCCAGCAGGAACAGGGAAGTGATTGTACCCCTGTACTCAGCTCTGGTGAGGCCACATCTCGAGGGCTGTGTCCAGTTTTGGGCCCCACACTGCAAGAAAGAAATTGAGCGGGTTCAAAGAAGGGCGACAAAGCTGGTGAGGGGTCTGGAGCACAGGACTTATGAGGAGCGGCTGAAGGAGCTGGGATTGTTCAGTCTGGAGAAGAGGAGGCTCAGGGGAGACCTTATTGCTCTCTATAACTACCTGAAGGGAGGTTGTAGTGAGCTGGGGGTCAGCCTCTTCTCTCATGTAACTGGTGATAGAACTAGAGGTAATGGCTTCAAGCTATGCCAGGGGAGATTTAGGCTGGACGTTAGGAAATACTACTTTTCTGAAAGAGTGGTCAGGCACTGCAGTGGGCTGCCCAGGGAGGTGGTGGAGTCACCGACCCTGGAGGTGTTCAAGGAACGTTTGGATGTTGTGTTGAGGGACACGGTTTAGTGAGTACTATTGGTGATGAGTGGATGGTTGGACTGGATGATCTTGAAGGTCTTTTCCAACCCTGGTTTTTCTATGATTCACTCCCTCCTCCCCATAGCCTGCTCCTTCTGAACACCTTTCCCACTGATAGAAGTGCTGTGCTTGTTTTGACAGGAGCTGTGTCTGGTGGGAGGCTGCCCTGCTCACATTTGAAATCAACCCTGTGTCAGTCTCACTGGAGGCAAATCTCAAGCCAGTTTGTGAACTTGCATTGTCCATGCACAAACTCTTTTTGGATCATGATGGAAATACAATACCATGAAAATAAGAGTCTACATATAATGAGAAAAACATACAAAAGGGGTTATAATCAGTTGTAAACCTGAAACACCCTATGTTACAAAATCTACCCAGTGCTGAGTCTCTGACCATGGGGATAGTTAATTAATTTTCCTGCAGTATGGAGAAAAATGCTTAGAGTGCACAATGTTTACTAGCCTTAAAAACTGTCATTTCAGCAAAAATTGAGAATGAGCCAACCCCTTTTTCTCTACCTAGGCAACTCTGCTGGGCCTCTTTGGTCCCTTGGTCTGAGATTTTGGCTTCCTTTTCATCATGCTGCAGGAGCAGGCAGCCCTTCAAGACAATGAGCTGACCAAGGTTTCTGCAGGAAACAGCAAAGTTTGGCAGGACCTGCAGCACCATCACACAGGTGGTGGAGTGAACAGAAAAATGTTGTGACTGTTGACAGAAAAATTCAGTGACTGTTGAACACAGTCACTGAATCATTAAGAGTGGAAAAGACCTCTAGGATGATCAAGTCCATCTGTTGACCCATCATCATCACCATGACCACTAATGTGGTACTGGATGTAAAGTGGAGATGCCCAAACCTGCTAGGGAGCACTTCTACAGGGTTTATTTTAATCCTCTTCCTAAAACATGTTTGAAGTAAAAAAAAAAAAAAAGGTGGTGGCATTGCTCTCTTAGCAAGTTGCCTTAAGTGCAGTGTATGAAAAGTGTTTTATCCTGTTCTTGTTATAGAGACCAGGACAGAGTGAGCTAGAAGAGCAAATCTACTACTGCTCTGGCTAAAGGGCACTTTGGCCAGCATGCAGTGGCCTTAAAGAAATCACTTTCTCTTGGCGCATTGCTTCTAAAAGAGTACTTGCAGGGATTTACAGGGAGTTGGGGACTGAGGCCTGGATATTTGAGATTTATGGGTCTAACCAGATCTGGATTACTGTACTGAGTGTGACAAGTAGTACACGTGATTTCAGAGGGGATCCAAGCAGCCTCCTGCCAGACAAGTCTTATATAATTTGAATAAAGCTCTTCTGACAATAGGCTCACAAGGATGCCAACAATCTATTTCTGCTGTTCTGTTTAATGTGGCATCTCTCTCCAAGCCAGCTCCTTTCTTGCTGGCAGGGCAGTGTTTGCACTGTTTTGAGCTTCCCTGGTTTTGCATTTATGTCATTCCATGGTGCCAGGCTGAGTGTGTGGGCATCCCAGCAGTGTGATAGAGATGTATGCCTGAGTTTCCATGCATTTCTCCTCCTATAGTCCTTTTCTGTTTTCCTGCTGCTTTGACAACCTTCTGCCACTTTTGAAGCAGCTTTAATTAAGCAGTTTTGGTCCCTAGCTTGGTCACTTCTAGTGGGGTCATCTCCCCATGGAAAGGGAGTAGAGGGAGGGGTTTCTTTGGTCATTTGGCTGAATTTTGAGGAAGGGTTTGTCCCTCATTGTGCATATGTGCAGTTCCTGACACAGCAGAGCTGCAGCAGAGCCTATAGTCCAGGCATGCCCTATCTGCTACAGCCTGCTGCAGTGGAGACAGGCTATCGGCAGGAGCTTTTCAGAGCTGCTTTAAAGCCCCCAAAATGTGGAGGAAGACTTGAAGGGTGTTGTTTGGGCTCTCCTCTGGGGTAGGGGCGGGTGGGGTGGCAGAAGATGACCGGAGACCTCTTGACCCTATGTTTCTCACTAGCCGGATCAATGAGAAGTCGGTGTGGTGCTGCGGGTGGCTGCCCTGCACTCCTCTACGCATCGCTGCCACTGCTGGCCACGGCCCTTGTGTCGACTTCCTCCTCCAGAAAGGGGCTGAGATAGACCTGGTGGATGTGAAGGGGCAGACCGCCCTCTACGTGGCTGTGGTCAACGGGCACCTCGAGTGTGCCAAGATCCTGCTGGAAGCTGGAGCTGACCCCAATGGCAGCCGGCACCATCGCAGCACACCTGTCTACCATGCAGCGCGTGTGGGCCGGGCAGACATCCTCCGGGAGCTGATCAGGTGAGAAATATATCCTGGAGTTGATCCCGATGGGGTGGAGAATGGCTTTGCCTCGCTTTTCTTTTTCCCTTGGATCTTTCCATTATGCAGCTGGGGGTATCCATTTCTTTCTCACCTGCCTGCTTGGCAAAGCTGGACAAGAGGAGTGCTGTCGGGAGAAGTTCCTAAAAGGGTGTTAGGTGTCTTTCCCTTTGTTTGGGCCTGGTGACAGATCCTGTTTCTGTGTCCACCATCCACTATTCAGTCTTGCAGACCACCTTCCCCTCAGCTTCTGTCTTGACTGCTTGGTTCCTGCTACTCCCCAGTGGCCAGCTCCGCTCCCCTATTGCTCGTGGGATGGATCACCCACCCAACCAGAAAGCTTAGTTCTGCTGCTCTAAACACTTTCTGTCCTTGGGAACAAAGGCAGCACAGTTTGTTCTTGGCTGCCAGGCACATGCCCATCAGTAGGACACTCTCCATGCCCCACTCCAGCAGGGAGTAGGCTCAGGGTCCAGCAGAAGGCTGTGTAAGCTTGAGTTTCCTTCCTTTGGCATGCCGTGGTACTTCCTGTCTTCTAAATTGGAAGCTGTTTGCACAAGGGACCATGCTGAGCAACTATATGAGCCTTTGATGCCAAATAATAGTGGATTATAGGGGGGAAATACAGGTTGTAGAAAGGGGTAGTAAAAGAACAGAAAGTTTATTTGGATTCACAGAGAAACACTCTCCAAGGAATCCCTTCAATGGCTGTAACTGCTAGAAAATAACAGCAGAAAGGAATTTTGCTTGTGGGCAAATTAATTTTCACACAGTGCAGCTTTAAGGAAGCTGAGAAGTAGAAAGAAGGAGGGAAACTCTTCCTACTCCTGCAAACTGAGAGAAAGATGTCACATTGCCACACGCTTGCTGGTACGGGGTACATTATTACATATTGCATTCCCCAGAGTCTCCCCTGATGTCCAGTAAGGCAGGGTGAAATGTAGCAAATGGTATTTCAGCACATGGAGAGCTGATGCATTGATTTATATGTCTGCTCCTCGGGATACCTTGCCAGCAATATTAAAAGCAAGATTTTGGAAAACTTTCAGGATTAAAAATTAACTGGAGTTTGTCCAATACCTTTTTATTAGATGATGTCTCTCCCAGGGCTGCTAAGCTAATACTTAATTGTCAGATTGCCCAAAATTTCCACTATCTCGGAGTACAGATTTCATAGATCTCTTCAGAGTTGCTTGCTTTAAAATGCAGTCTTATGTTACAAAGCTCACTCAGAGATTTTCAGAAATGTTGCTCTAAAGGATCTGGCAGAAGAAATGCGATGAGGAAGACGCTTTTACTGAGATATGAGAAAATATTTCAGAATATTCAGCTTGAGAGAGCCTCAGTGTTCTGAAATGAAAGCCCAACCAGTCAAGCTTACTGCAGGTGTCCAAACATCACTTGCTTCAATTTTCGTAATCATAAGGCAGCACAGCCAGGATTCCTGAATCCTGCCACAATTACTATACCAGCTAAGCAAGCAGTAATTGAAATTGTCTCCACTAATAGTAAATACACACGTAGCTATGGAATGGAGATCCATTTTATAAGACAACTGGCAGAAATATTTGCAGTTGTATTTCCAAGGTATAGATTACTTTCCTAACAGCTTGTTATGTGATTGTGCTATGATGGGATCGACCATCATACTGTATTTGCAGCACCACTGAGGGATGACCTCAGGATGAGAAGGTCCATCTGCTGCACTAAAAGCAGCAAAAAAGCAATCTGACAAATCCCACCAGTGCCTCAGACAGGTACCTGACTCTGAAACAGCAGAATTTCATGTTTTGGGGAAGCGGGGGACTGAGAATGAGAACGTTGACAGCATTAATGAAAAGGGATTAAGACTGAAATGAGAGTCAGACTGCTGTGTGGTCAGAACCATGGCCACAGAAGGCAGTGGCCCCATAGCCATCCTGTGAATGTCCCATAGTAGCACAAATGATCCCATTCAAATGCTTGTGTAGTCTGATTTTAAGTGATTTCTGTATCTATAGGGAACATGTGTGATTGCCTGTGCAAAACAGACACGTTTTCTTATTTTGCCCTCAATACTTCAAGAAAGCATAAAGTGATGCAAATTCAGCAAATTCTCCAGAAGATGGGAGTGTCCCATTAAAGTGCAGTGAACTGGGAAGCAAAGCTTGGTGCTGTGGCTATAATGACTCTCAGTAGTGTCATTACTGCCTAGCTCCAATTTTTTCTTGCTTTTATCTACCCTATAGATCTCCTGAGCTCTTAGCCAAGATCCTCATGCTCGGGAGATCTTGTGCGTTGGGGTAAAATCACCTTGCATGCCCTTTGCAGCTCTCAGACAGGTTTCCCCAGCCCTTGTTCTCTATGTGCTTAATTTAAATGAGACATAGAGTTGTCCAGCATCCCAACTTGGAAGGGACCCATAGGGGTCTTCACGTCCAATTTGACTATTCCTGTCCTCTGAACTGAAGTGTTTGGCTAAGTATTTAATGGGTAGAGACCAGTCTCTACTGGGGTCAGCAAGAGACATGCTTGCAGTGAGGAAGAATTTGTCCCCACGTGGTTTCCTTATTTGTTTTTTATTAACTGCAGAAAGGAGTATTGTGTGCTATATAAGAAGACAGAAAATCTAGTTTTCTGAATGCTTGATTTGCAATTTTGAGAGGGGGGACTGGTGACTGAAGGAATGTCTTTTTCCTATGTGGGAAAGAAACAGGGCTTTGCTTGATCTCTAATACTGCAATTAAAACTGGTTACACCTCAGGGGATTGTATTGTCTTCTTCCTTGTTCCAGCCCAAGCTGCGCGTGAAGCAGATGGGGAGCTGTGCTGTCCCACTGCTTGGGTGTTACCCAGCCTGGGGGAAATCAATGCTCGTTTCTACAGTCTCTTATTTGTGCTGCATTACCATTTTTTGAATTCCATGCTTTTCTAGAGCGTGACACCTGACCCTTTTGCTCCCATTTTTTTGGCTGTTTCCTTCATTTCCTCCAAACAAACAAACAAACAAAAAAACCCAAAACAAAAATAAAAGGAATCAAAGCCAATACGCCCTGTTCTCTGTTCTTTCAAACTTACAGCCACCTGTACTCCCAGAAAAAAATTATGCCACTGATGTTACTTTCTATACCATGATGATGCTGATTGCCTTTGAGCTGAGCTGTAGCCTCCTTGCCTGCCTTTACACCACAGCAAGATGGCACCTACTTTGCTTTGGCCAAAGGGCTTATGAAGCAGTTGAGAGACATGACCCCGTGTAGCAAATATGTGAAGTATTAACTTTCCTCTGCGGTAGCTTGAGGCCTGAGCCATTTGCAAAAGACTTGAGAGGTTTTCTGTTGCAGCTTCTGGAGGTCCCTGCTTCAGTACCCAGAGTGCTGGCCAGTGAACTGTAATCTCTTATGCAATGTCTCACGTTATATATAACCTGTAAATTGAGCCATACAGGATGGATGGGGAGAACAGAACGTCTGGCAACAGTTATTTTATATTTTTCTAGTTTCTTACACGCTTAGAATTGGCCGATACCTCCCATCAACTGAGATGAGCACTAGAGAAAAGGTCTTTCTTTGACTCGGATGGGATTTTTGATGGGATTTCAACCATCCAAGTTTCTTTGGGAGCGGGATTTATCATATGTGTTTCACTGCTGAGCACTGATTACTGTTTCCATTTCCCTGCTGTTTGTGACAGGCAGATCAATCGCTTGCATTGCTTTTTGGCCTGTTTTATACTGGTGGGGAAGTTACTTCACTGCATCTCTTCAACTGAGTCATTTGGAAACATCCCCTGCTTCCCAGCCAGCCCATTAGCATCCAACATTACATGCTGCTGGCTCAGGGCTGAGCTGTTCCTTGTGCCAAAGCTGTGCTTGGCATATCCTTCAGGAGGGTAAGGGAAGGTGTCCCTCAGCCTTCTCTGTCTTGAGCCTGGGCTATTTCTGGCAGCAGGACAGCTTTGCTTCGTGAAGATCAGACCATACTAGATATGACATCCCTGCTTCTGTACTAAGCCTGTCCCTGGAAGAGAGACATTACAAAAAGGTCCCCTGAATTAACTTTGAACGTACATGGGTGAAACTGCATTAAGTCCACTTGCAGACACCCTTCTTCTTCTGAACCAGCGTGGCCTTAATTTGATTTTTTTTTCCCGTACTTTGGGGGTAAGCGTGGGTGGAAGATGGGTGGTGGGCTCAGATGAACCAAGGACAGGCAGCCCACATGGTGTTGGTCCTCTCGGTGTCCTCTGCCTTCCTCATGGCCATTTTGTGCCCTTGGGCTACCAGTCATCCTGATGTTGCCCTTCTTTCCAAATGGTTACTACTCTCCCTTTTAGATATGGTGCAGATGTGGATGTGAATCACCACCTCGCTTCTCGGGTCTCCAGCCCCTCCTTGCGACCCCTCACCACACTTGTGGTCTGTCCACTATACATCAGTGCTGCCTACCACAACCTTCAGTGTTTCCGGCTGCTGCTCCAGGCTGGAGCCAACCCAGATTTTAATTGCCGTGGGCCAATCAACATCCAAGGCTTCTCTCGGGGCTCACCGGTGTGTGTGATGGACGCTGTCCTGCGGCATGGCTGTGATGCGGCGTTCATCCACCTCTTGATTGACTTTGGAGCCAACCTGAACCTGGTGAAGGTGGAGGCCTTGGAATTTGACTCCACGGGGAGGGTCAAAGTCAACCCTGAGGCTCTGCAAGTCTTCAAAGAAGCACGAGGTAAGTGGCTTTGAGTTACTGTGGTGACTGGTTTTATCGAGCTCTAAATTCAGGAGAATTTCTTGGCACTGACAGCTCAATGGCCCCCTTGTTCCCAGCTAGACTCCCTGTTTTTCTCTTGTTGCTTTTTGTGTTTTTCGCCTTCTGTTTTCCTTCTTGTATCCTTGAGCTCCCAGTGATCCCTGTCTCCTCAGCCCAGCCTCTGTAATTTTACTTTCTAAAATCTTTCTCCCAGCTCTTTTCCATTGCCTGCTGTTGTCCAGAGGTGCCTAAGGGAAGGTTAGGATGGTATTGTAGCAGGGATTTGGGTTTGCAAACCACAGACAGGTGTATCCTGTTGCACCCAGTTCTCCAAAGCCGTATAGATGTGTCCTCACTGTTCTTGAGTGACCCTGTGCTCAAGGGTTAGTTGTGTCTGCGCAGGCTTCTTGGGAAATAAAGATGCAGTGGTGGCAGTAAAAGGGGAAAAAAAGGAACTAAAATGGTGGAAAATGGTGGAAGAAAGTGGGGAAGCAAATGAGTTACAGAAGTGAGCCTTAGCCTCCAGTCCAAACTTGCCTTAATTTATCTGATATTTCTTTCTTTTATAACAAACGTGGCATCACTTCAGTGTGCACCCTACTTTCAACAAGAGCAGCACCTCATAAAGCCATCAGGCTCACCTGGTAAAGGCCAGGGTTTTGTACCAGAGTCCAGAGTGGGGTTTCCCTCTTGAACTCCAGACCAGAGAAACTGAAAAGAGTTTTGGGATGTGGGATCCAATTCCCAGGCTCCACCCCAAAGTTATTCAGCTTTGCACATGCTTTTTTCAAACCTGCCTGGACTTTTGCTGAGAGGAGACACAAATACAGAGCAGGTGGTTTCCATTAAACCTGTTTTTAGGAGACAAATGGGACTCCTTGGGTAGAACATGCTGGATAATGGAGGGATACCCAGGAGAGCCTGAGTATCCTGAATCAACATGGATGCCACCATCCTCTTATCTCTGTGATGGAAGAGTTCACCATGAACTCAATGGAAGCCATCAGAGGAAATCTGTGATAAGACCTGAGCTGAACATCAGTGCTGTTGATTCTCAGGGGGTAATTTAGTGCAAAAAGAAAGTCCACATCTTTTTAAAATGATTGGATTAGCATAAAGTCTCTCACAGCCTTGCTTGGTGTGGATTGGGCAGTGATCTTTTGAACCTTCTCTGGCAGGAACTCGCTCTGTAGCCACAACCCCTTGCAGTTGCCCTTTTTACCCTTCCAAACTGCCTGTGTGGCAGCTGTGATTGCTCCAAATCCTTGGCCAAAAAGTTTGGCCTCCTCGTAGGGAGGATTTGTGCATACTCAGCTCTCCTGCACTGCCTTCGTGTTGCTGTGCAGGTCGTAGCCTCAGCATTTGGAAGGGGTAAATGGCTCCTCCGCTGCCAACCGTAGCTCTGCACAATTTACATGCTGTTATCTTCCTCCATCTGTCCCTCAACAGTTCCTCTCTGCTTTCTTTATTGCAGGCCGCGCCCGGAGCCTGTTGTCTCTCTGCCGCATAGCTGTACGAAGAATACTTGGCAAATCTCGTCTGGATCTGATCCATATCCTTCCAGTCCCAGACCCCATTAAACAATTTTTACTTCATGAACACAGTTAAAGGGCAACCAGCTGCTTTCTGGGACAGTTTGATTTGCTAAACGAGTGAGTTGACAAAGCCAGGTGCCAATTCTAGCCCTTTGCCCCCAGAGAAATACTGGTTTGCTCATGGAATGCACATAATTCCCTGCCCCTGTGGGTTTCCCCTCCAGATTAGGGTGCAATGATTTTGTGTGTCTACACTTAAGCTGCCAGTTATCTCACTGGTGATCTGTTTGCAACTGGTCGGGCAGTGAGGTCACAAGTGTGTGTGGCTGTTACATGAGCAAACACAGTATATCCCATAGCTGTTAGCATATGTCTGTTTGTTACGACTCTACCTCTGTTATTGCTCCGTGTTACACACACCTTGGGTCTCAGAGGCACTTTTGTGTGGCAAATGTTCCTGTATTTAAGCCTTTCATTTTCCTACAGTATGCAAGGAAGTCTCTCCTTGCCTTGGTAAGGGGATTACAGCAGCACTGTTCTCCCTCTGCTGTCAGTACCTGGCCTTTCTCTTCTCTGTGGAGTTTGTGGTTGCTGCTGTAAAAGTGGGTATATTTTCTTCTGTCCTCTTCTGGTGTGAAATGCATCAAGTTTCCTGTCCAGTGCTGTGCATTACTTGGAGAATTGTATCCGTGTCTCTACGTGCTGCAAGGTAGCTGCTGACTTGGCTTTCTTCCTCCAGAGGCCCCGTTGCACAGATGGGAGAGTAGCAGAATGTGTAATCCTATCCCATCTGAGTCGTTTCTACAGACCACCAGATCTGCTGTGGCACGTTAGCTCGCCTTCCAGCACTATGATGGATGAGGCAAGGGTTGGCCAGTCCTCCTCCCAACTGCCCAGGACACTGCTGTACCACAAATGAGAAGATACGGAGAGAAGAGGAAATGGTATTTTCATCCATGGACACTGAATAGTACAGAGTTCATTGCAGGGATGATGTGATCCCTGTGGTTCAGTCACTGCTGCAGTGGTGGTGGGTCAAGGACTGTGATACTCAGACGAAGCCAGAATGTGAACTTGAAAGATTTCTAGGGTACTTTCTGGAAAAGCAATGACCAAACTCAACCGTTCACTGTAAAATTGGTTTGAATATTTGAGAATGACCAAGAATGACCAGGAGTGGAGGGGCTGCTAAATTAAATTGTTGTCTTGCAGTGCTGGATAGTGGTTGATGCAATGGCTGTGAATATATCTGTGTGATTATGAAGAAAAAGATAACAAAAATTATCTGTAGACTGCCTTGCTATATTCCAGTGATTGTGACCTTACTGAAGGCCCAGTAAAGTAGGTGACAATGCAGAGCACATAGAAATTCCTACCTACCTTTTACTCCTTACCTCACAGAAGCATGACCAGATAAATCCACCTAACAGGCCTTTTTGTTTGATCCTGCTTCTCTCAGCACTGTAGAGGAGGGAGAAGAAAGGACTTTTTATCTTTTATCAAGGAATTAGGAGGTAGCATGATTCTGAATGAAGTAGAGCCTGTGCCAGCAGTGTTTTACCCTGAATGAGTGCTCTGCTATTAGATACTCCTTGAGTTGCTGCGCACTTCAGATCAGTTGCTGAAGGAGGAGTAAGTTGCATGTCTTTTAGTTGGAGATACCTGCTTACAAATACCTAAAGAAAGAGCAGAAAGGTGAATAGGGTGTAGCACTTGTTTATGAAATGCTTTTTTCCAGACGCATCAGTGACTGCAAACTCACAGCTCAGTTCCTGAGATATTTTTTATGGTGGAGTTTGATAAGCAACAGTGAACTTCTTTGTATGTTTTTATTATCTGCTGAAGCATCTTTCTGAGATGCTTTTGCAGAAGGAGGGAGGGCAGGAAGAAATGGAGACGCTTGATTGTTTCCTTTTAATTCTGTTCCATGCCTGGGCCTGGAAGAGCAGTCAGGTGGCCTTGTACATTGCTCTGCTCACTTATTTTAGGATAAGGAGGCAAGATTTGCATTACTGAGCATTACACTGTTGAGAAAAGGCTGAAATGCAATGGTCACACTCACTCACTGTTCAGACACTTTCAGAAATCCTCATCAGATGAGATATAATGGCAAGGATGTATAGCTATGGGCATGCTTTCAAGGTGAGAAGGCAGCAGTATTGCATTGTTTCCTTTTCAGGCTTGCAGATGGTTTAGGTTTTCACCGTACGGGAGGCCAGGGCAGCCCATGAGCATTTTGCCTGAGAGTTGTGTGCCTGCTTTATGGAAGTGTTAACATGCCTGAAAGATGCAGGCAGGTTGTAAAGCCGCTTGTCACCTTGCTGGTAGAACCATAATGTTTTGCAGGAGCACGGACCAAACATATTCTCTAGCCCAAGTGTATAGAGGCAGAAAATGAGGGAGGATGTCTAGAGAAAATGCCATGGCAACAGCTTCTTTGGGCCGGCTTTTTCACTCCGATTTTTACTTCTTCACATAGTTTTGCAAACCACTCACACATTAGTGCCTTTTGGGAGAAAGTAGCTGGATAGAGGTGGAAGGCACGTGCTCCTCTGGGGAGGCATAACAAACAACTCAGTGCACAATGTTACTAGAGTGTATAGGTAATGCTAAGCCTCTGCGGATATATCTGTTACAAGTTTCATTACAGCTGCCTTCTGTATTTGATCTGTTGACTGTTGTGCCCTTGATTGACACTGTCCTACATCCCTCCTATGGATAGTCAGCCAGTGAAGTCTTATCCAGGCCAACAATTGCAGCCATCCTTCTGAGCTCCCTGCCATGGGAGTGGGAGTTGGAAAAGCACTCTTTCCATGGACTGTCAGTAAGTGGTACTGATAGGATTCCTTAGTTGGTCCTGTTGGTAAGCTCAAGCTATGCTGAGGGGTGGGGGCTTCCACCTCAGTTACCCATTCTTTATTTATCATTTGAAGTACAATAATCACGATGCTCTAACAGCGTGCTGAACTTTGTGCATAGGGGTAGTCCTTTTGACCTCAAGTTTAAAGACTATATCGGTCTTCAAATCCAACCTGTGTGGAGTCCAAAGTATTCCCCTAACTGTGAATGCCTCAAGTCCCTGAGCCCAGTGGATCAAAGGATGGTTCCCACACTCCTATAGCAAACAAGCTTAAAGTTCAACAAGCACTTGGGTGTCTGCACAGTCAAACCTTGGACGTGCAGGAGTGCATCTGCCATCTTAACTGATGGACTGTGCCTCCTGCCAAGGTTTCAGTCTTAAACTTGAGTGAACTACCTTTTTGAGGGACTGAAGAGAGTCCAGTGCTTGAGAACAGCTCACGTAACATTTAGCTGTAAGTGTGAAGGCTGCTGCTGGAGTAGTCCTTGTGGACATTTGTTGCTAGGCAACATAAACCCAGCTTTGCCTGGATGAAATGGTTTAATACACAGAATATCTGCAATTTTCATTGTAATAATGAATCTCAAATTAGATTTATGATGTCCTGCAGGGCAACAGCACATATCCTCTGGCTGTCCCTGTCCCTTTAAACCCAGTAAACAATAGTCTTCCAATACGAAATCTGAGTAATAATATGCGTATCTTAGTTTTCACACTATATAAGTGACATTTATTTTTGCCTTAATTCAGACTTTACCATTTCCTCCTATGTAGCAATGCATTTTTTATACAAGTATTATTTTCCATGCAGTCTGGGAGGCATCCTCAGATAACATGAATAACAAGTGAGATGTGGGAAATTGAACAGTTGTGCAGTGTGCATCCCCTCCACTGAAGAATGCCTTTTATATTTGTGCATAATGTATGAAGTGTGCATTGTGTGGCCTTGCTGTAAGTACTGGGTGGGATGAGATTTGGAAAATGGTTAAAGAACTGAAGCAGATCTGGAATAAGCAAAGATATACAAAGGAGTCTTGTAGGCTTTCTTCTTTGTTGTATAGGGACTTTTGAGAGCATGAAATGCTGGTAGCTGGCGTAATACCCAAATGTAACTTCCTGTCATTTGGGAGTTGTGCAAATGGCAGAATGGAATCTACCAGGTTGCAGTGTTCGTTGGTTTGTTTGGTTTTTTTTCTCCTTCCCTTATTCAAATATAGCACTTTTTACACCAGAACTGGCCTTTGAGGTGCAGCACCTCTTAAGCCCTTGTTGTTCCATTGAAGAAAGGAATCCAGGGACCTGCCCAGCACAAAGCAGAGGTGACAGCCAAGAGCGCTGCTTCAAGGAACACTATTCAGTGCTCCTTTCTTTTGCCCAGGGTAGAATGATTGTGCACAGCAGTAAGATTTGATCCAAGAGCAGATAGGAGATATCTGTGGTGGGTCTGTGTGTAGCTAAATAAAGATGTTCCAGTGCAAGAGCTTGGCTGTGTGCCTAATCATTTACCTCGCCATGGGAAGGGGAAATGCTTCTATGTATTTCCTAATATTCCTAAACCTGAATTATTTCCTGGTTTTCCTACTCCTGAATCCAGCTGACTCCTCAGCCTGTTTTGTAGCCACTGGAGGGGGCCGGAGAACCATGCTTCCTGCAAGTGGGTTACAGCCAGAGGCTGAGAAGTGGTTTCCTGTACCATTGTCACCCCTGGACAGTTTTCAAGAGGGATGTGGAAACCAAATCAAACCGTAGCCCAACGGGGATGTGCAGAGCAAACAGCTCTCAGGAGCATCTCCGCCACCAATCCTCATTCACGAGCTCACATCCTCAGCATTGCTGACCTGCCCTTTCCTTGGAATGCCATGGCAGCACTGTCACCCCTGCTGCTTTGAGCAGCCCACAGGTCTTGTCTTTCCACCTGGTCCTTCAAAATATACTGAAGAAGGCTCTTCAGACCTCTAGTTTCTGCTTTATTTGGGTCCATCTCTGGAAATGTAGCTCCTCAGATTATCCTGGCATGCAAGTACTCTGAAGGCAGTGTAATTCTTCAGAGCGTTTTGGTTCTTGTAACTTGGCCTTTTCTGATATTTTCATTGGGAAACTCCCTACAAACTCGAGCTGCAAGCACTTCTGCTGGGTGTGCTCTTCCTTCTAGGGATTAGCAGATGTAGTGCAGTCTATCTGTCACACCTGGATAGCTTGCATTCTTCAGGTGGTACAAGGAGAGTTTTGGGTACTTAGTCTCTATAGCTGTCTCCAGTCAAGGATGCCAGTCTGTTTTTTAGGATTCCTGCCGTTTCCACTTCCTAGCTGATGCCAAAATTTCCTCTAAAGGCAAAAAGAGGAAGAAAATGATGAAATGATTTGGAATTATGGTGGTGGTGGATCAAAACAAAGCCAAACGAACCCTGATCTGAAATTCTAAAACTCACAACCAACCTCTATATTGCTGTAATTCAGAAGTGGCTCCTTCCTGTGCCCCAACATGAAGCTTATGTTGTGGCTGTCCCAATTGAGTGCCCATAACCCTCCTGGGGAATAGGTCAGCAACTATCTCTGTGCTGCAGCTTGGAAAGAACTGGAGATTTATTGTCGCTGGGGAGGGATCCGAGCTGCAAATGCCAGCCTGATAAATGTGGAATTGTTTAAAGGGCTGTTGGACTCAAGCCCTGAATTTGTGTGCTGTAAACCTGTCCTCTCTTGGTCGTCTCTCTGGAGGAGACAGGATGAGGTTTTTGGTCACCTCTCATTGAATTTCTTGTATTTCTGGGGAGAAGAGCCCATCTGAGAGCCTGCCCTTGTTTTTTATAATGTCATCACAACTTTTTTTAATTAATCGCACTCATCAATCCTACCTTAGGATCTAATGCAGTTACTTTTCCTGCAGCAGTGAGGAAGGGAAGAGGTTTTGCTTTGCACTCTGAAATGCTCAAATATTTGCCCTGGGCTATGAAAACCAACCAAGGCTGCAGTAAATCTCACAGTCTCAAAGTATTTCCTCTAGTATGTGTTACTTCCATTCCCCCAGCTCCTGCTGGGGAAGCCCCTGCTTGTTTAACTTGCTTTGTTCCCTATCAGCTCCTTCAGAGTCATTTTCCAGTTTCTCTGCACAAGCCCTCTGTCCCATGCAAGGTGTAACCTGCAAGAAAAAGAAAACCCACACAGTGTTTGAGTGGAGGAAAGGAGGCTCCAGCCCTCCGAGACCATCGTTGCACCACAGAGCCCATTAATCCATCTCCAGGTACATGCACTTCTCACTCCTTTCACCACTTTCTCCCCCTGACGCATATGTACAAGCTCTGTTTTGCACTTTTTTCCCTTTTTTTCTTTTTCTTTTTTTGTTTGTTTTGTTTATGCTTTAGAGACAAATGAAACCTGCTTTTGTTTACTGGAAAGTATGCTTTATTTTCTCATCACCGAGCATCTGGTGTTTGTAAAAGGCACAACAAATCTTTCCAACAGCAAATCATCCTGTCTGAGAATGCCTGGCCAGGAGCTCCATGTGTGCCGTGATCGTTATCCTAAAAAGGTACTAAAATGGCCAAACACAGAAAGTGCTGGCCAAGCTTGCTGCCCATCAGTGGAAAACCACAGGTAAGATGCTGGACATTCGTGTGACCTATGCTTATTGAAGGCTGTGAGTTAACAGAGGGCTTGACTAAGCCTTTGCCTGAAAGCTTTGTGCACGAAGGAAGTGGGGGTAGGTGGCACCAGGAGTCTCCAGGGACCCATTGCCATGCATCTGCGTCCAAAATAAGAATAAAAAAGTCACAGCAGGGGACAAGATGCATTCAGAAAATACCTAGATGCATTTCAGGCAATTTGGTTAAGATGGGCACCTGGCCCAGACTGATGGAATCAGCCATTACGTTTCCATACTCAGCCACCTTCTATCACTTTGAAATCGGGAAGAAAATTAAAGCCACAATGGGCAAAGTAGACCAGGACTGCCATTAGCACTGATTAATGGCTCCAAGTGTCCCCTCAGAAAGCAGCAGGATGATGTATGATCTGCACACAGCCCACTCCCTGTGGCACAGGATTTCTATAAGCTTTCCAAACATACCAGGGTGAGGTGATGCTTGCAGACACGACGTTTTCTCCGATGGCATCTTTCCACAACCATCTGAAAGCCACTAGGGGAATGTGGAAGCTGGTTTCCAGCCATAATTCGTTTGGCCAACTCTGCACTTGCCTTTAATTTTAATAATTTGGCGATATCCATTTATTTGACATTTTGCAAAGAGGGGTCTGCATTTGCTCAGAGAAAATGAGAGTTGAAGGATGGTAAAATGCCTTCATAAATTGCAAGTTAAATTAAGAAGTTGCCTTAAAAGCACTGAGCTCTTAGCCCCGTGCAGTGTCATTTATGGCATTGAGAGCTGTGGTCCCGTTTGGAGGCCCAGAATGCTAAGGAGGCACAGGAAGTGGGGTCAATTGTTTTGTGGGTGTTTCTGGCCTTTCCGAGCCCATTTTCATTAGTGGTTGGGATGTAGTAAAGGATTCATATGTTTTTTTCTTTTTCATTTTTCACAGCACACATTTTTTACCAACAAGTCTTAATTTTTAAAGTTTTCAGCATTTGAACATTTCATGTCAATAGAAAAGCTGTTTCTGAAAATTTTTTCTTTTATTGGATCGTATCAATATTATTCTGTAACGCTGCCTGTAGTGCAAATAAGTTGTCTTGTGATGCAATATTGTAAGCATTTATTTTTATTATTTCTAAATCGCTACTGGCATCTGCAGCTGGGCTTTGATTGGGACATACTGTTGTGATTGGTTTTTTGTTTTTTTTTTTTCAGAGCATCACCTTCTTATGTTTTAGTGAAATTGCAATGATTTGAGATCACAAAATCACAGTTGTTGGAAGGGACCTCAAGAGATCATCGAGTCCAACTCCCCTGCTAAAGCAGGTACCTTACAATAGGTAGGTGTCACACAGTAGGTGTCCAGCCAGCTCATCAGCATCTCCATAGAGGGAGACACTCTGGGCAACCTGTTCCAGTGCTCCATCACCCTTACTGTAAAGAAGTTCTTCCACATGTTAGTACAGAACTTCCCGTGTTCAAGTTTTAGGCCATTACTCCTTGTCCCATCATTACACACTGTTGAGAAGAGCCTGGCCTCATCCATTTACCTCCTGCTTTCCTTTAGATATTTATAAACATGCATCAGATCCCCTCTCAGTCTTTTTACGCCCAGAAAAATGGAGTATATTGTTCTCACCACGTGATGAAACACGGTAAAAAACAAAAAGGAAGCCAAACACGAAATAAAATCAACCCCAACAATTCTACATGCCAATACGAAGTGCTATGTTTCACAAAATTTATATTTTTATGAAAAGGCTTTTCTTTCAAATGACTTCCTTCCATACATTTCCACTGAAAGAAATATAACGTGACGTCGAATAATGTGGTTTTTTTTTTTTTTTTTTAATTTTATTAGTATAATGAGAAATGCCTGGAGGGGCTACAGTCTTTGTGACATTGTGTAACGCCTAGTGAAGACTTCCTCACATCTCAGCACCACACCAGCACTTAGACACTCACCTCCAGATTCTTCTTGTTTAAAGGAATTTTCCTTTAAAGTAAATGTGTTGTAAGACCTTCTGTTGTTTAAGGGCATCTGAGTCCTTACTTCATCAAAGCGAGCATTAAAGCCTCCTATAAATACTACCTTGGAAAGCAGAAGTTTTCAATTACCACAACTCCTCTCCTGATATCAGTTCCTATAATGATCAGCCTCCATTAGTGCAACTTTCTTTAAGCCAGAGCACCAAAGCAGATTTCTGCTTCCCCAGAGCTGGTGGCTGCCACCTGCCTGGAAGTGGGTCATCTTCACGTTCACATGTTCTGGCTGCTCTTTCCCTCCCTTCTTCAGCAGTTATATGGATCTCATGGCACAGCACTGTGGCATCCTGTCCAAAGTGCCCTTTGCTCAAAGCAGAACTATTGCCTGTCACAAATTTGTAGGTTGAGAACTTGGCATCCTGAGATGGTCTGGTCCGTCTTACCAGAAGTTGTTTTTGCAGGGAGTTCAGTGAACTTTGGGTTTAGTCTGCAAACCTTTGGTTTAGTGATAATCGTTAAGTATTTTATGCATTGCAGACTATGAATGATTCAAAGATGCCAGTGAAGCACATTGTGCTGCTGCAAACGAGTCTAGGAAGTTTTACTGTTCCCATTGCTGGTGCATGAACCCTGTTTCTCTTGGCTCTGTACGTGTGCAACTATATGGAGAGGGGCCAAAAGAAAAGAGTGCAGATAGAGATGAATCCTATCATGTTATAGCTAAAAGATAAGAAGGAGGACTGTTAAAGGACGTTTGAGATTTCCATAGCACTGAGAAAAGATTCACTGCCAATGTGAAGTGCCATGGATTTGTGTTTGCTCCCCAGCATTTAAAATGCTGCGGCTACATACTGAGTATGCACCATTCCACTTCAAACCAGCACAGATAGCCTTGGCTCAATATGCA